TGTATCATTTCTTGTGTAAGTGGATTGTTCCATTTCTTTACACCATTCGGGAACTTCTTCATGGGAACCTCCCTTCTTCCTTTTCACAACAGTTCCGAGAGTTTAAATTTTAATCAACAATGATTTTGAAACTTGTAATATATTATGTTTATATCTATTCAATAAACTACGATCGTATGAAATTGTTTAAGTAAAATGACAATAAAAAAGAAATAATGATTTGTTTTAAAAATTAATTCTTTCACTAACAACATACTTATTCACTTTTGTTATTTCACTAACGAACTTTTTAGTATAAAATAAAATGACCAAATCCTTGAACAAAGAATTGTACTTATCTTATCAACTAATCTCAACGTTTATTTCAGTTCTTTTTCGAAATCAGTTTGAGTGATGTTATCTTTAAATATTTGGAAAAAATAAAACTGTAAACGGTTAATCATGAAGGATAATATATTAAAGGTTGATCCATAATATTTAAAGACGATCCATATTTCGGCACGAATCTGTTACTAAAGTAAACAGGGAATGTTTTTTCTTTGAATCTTGTTTTAATACCTGTTTGTGTCTTTCTTTGGTATCACCTGCCCCACACAAACCTCTCTAGAATCAAATTTGTTTTTCGTTTTGCCCCAAACTCGGATCTACTGGGTAGATGTAGAGCACAAAAACTGAAGAAACATCTGCCCCAAACTCGGATCTACTGGGTAGATGTAGAGCACAAAAACTGAAGAAACATCTGCCCCAAACTCGGATCTACTGGGTAGATGTAGAGCACAAAAACTGAAGAAACATCTTGTATTAGCAGTGGATGTAGGGTTCCTTTCCACTTTAAGTGTGGTCATAATAAGTTGATCTTTTGAAGGTCCTTTGGAATATTCCAGAAAGTCTATTTTTCAAACAAAAAGTTGACACTTTATTAAAGATTATGTAGTGTCTTTGTTAATTTTTTTTTATTTACTTCTGTATAATTTTATTAGTAACATGAAAGAATAATAATTCTTTGTGATTCATTCTTTTTATGTTTAGTTTTCATGCTTTACTTCAATAAAAATTATTGAATTACGTGTTTTTATGTTAATGTTTTTTATTTTTTATCTCACATTTATGCCTTTTAATTAATAACGCTTCTCCTCATTTATTTCCCAATTACTTTAACAAAAATATTGGTGCCATCCATGTTAATACGTATTATATTCAACATTGGAATATAATACGTATATAAGTAAAATGTTGGGTAGCCCTACTTTCAAAGGGTCTTACTCTCATGCTGTTATAGGTCTGCGAATCTAGTAAATGGTGACTGATGCATGTTAAATCTGTCAAGTTGCTAAGTCCTTCATCTTCCCATAAAAAATCAATACCTCTGGGTGTACTGATTCAGGAGTTTCCTTGTCTTCTGGATGGGTTAAAAAATACAAGGCTATACTGAGTTGAACATTAGTAATCGTAAACCCAAAATTGGGTCGGCTGTTCAACGACAGATATAATAAATATAAAAAAATAAATAAAAGCCAAAATTAGTCTCTCTCTTACATATTTTAACAATATTTATGAATAAATAATATTCTATAATCCAAAAACAGTTTTGTGAAGAAGAAAAAACGAAGTATATGGTATAAAAATTTACAGGATTTATGTATTGCTACATATAGTCCTGGATTACCTTTAACAGTTATCCAGCAATAATAATTGTAAATGCATGAAAATTAAAAATATAAAACTCTATAGTTTTAAAAATAAATATACACTATTCTCATATTTTAAAAATTCTGCTTATTTACAAATGTAAAAATTATAATCAAACTTTGAATTAGAATTTTGTCAAGATTTACAAACTACATTGTGTCACTCAAAATAAAACTAAACATCATATAATCTCCCCCCCCCCAAGAGTTGAACAGGTTTTTTGATTAATAGTTTACTATTCTTTTGATTTTTTTTAAATTCAGTTTTTACGTTTTACAGGCAAATAGAGTTTCATTAATTTTTCTTATTTGCTCACACTCAACTATCTCAATATTTTTGTTCATATTGTTCTAGGTTTTTATTTAAGACAAATATTTTTCATTAAATTCTTTTTAGCTATCTCCAATGAAGTTGTTGGAATTTGTTTTCATGGATGTGAAATTTGATTACATTACTAATAACAATATTTATTAATTGAAAATGCAAGAAATTTGGCTTATTTTATTTCAATTATTAGGTAATAATGAAATAAGTTTAAAATTAAAGTTGTTATTTATGTTGTGGATGAAAAATGATCGAATAATGATGCATTTAAAATCTACCACTAAATTTTCAATAAAACAATATAATCCAAGTTAACTCTTTAAAAATGCTATAAAAAAGAAAGTGGAAATTTATAGATCGATGAAAAAGTGCCAATCTTGTAGTTTAATGCATTTTTGCAAGTTAGGTATAAAGGAAAAAATGTAAATATGGGATATATATACAGTGAATTCACGATAACTCGAATCTGATAGGACTGACGAAAAACTTCGACATTACCGTTAGTTTCGGTTTTGAACTTTCAAAATATTGTCGGATTATTTAATTAATGCTTATTAATTACAAATCTTCTAAATGCTTACAATATTTAAGATCATTTTTCTGACAAGCCATTTACGATAAGACTGTTTGAAGCACTTTATGATACCCTGGTCCATCGGCTGCAACTTTGCTGTTGTGTTTGGCGGGAGAAACTGCAAGTTTACTGCTTTCAAATTAGGTAGATCACTATGCGCTGTGCATTTATCCATAAAGAGTATCACTTTTCTTTTTTTAGCGAAGAATTTCCGATCCAATTTTCTTACATAGTCTTCAAATAAAACTGATGTCATCCAAAACTTTTTGTTAGACTTGTAATCCAAAGGATACGTTTTTACATTCTTGAAACATCGGGGATTTCGGTATTTTCCGATAGCAAGTAAGGGCAATTTCTCTGTCCCAGACGCATTTCCTCCAACTAGGACAGTCAAACGTTCCTTGCTCATTTTACCCCCTGAGCAGTTTTCATCCTTAAACATCATAGTCTTATTTGGAAGACATTTAAAAAATAAACCCATTTCATCAATATTGAAAACATCATTTTAACTGTATCCTTGAAGTAAATTTGGTAACGTTTCATTTAACCACTGTTCACATACTTCAAGAGGGACAGCTTTATCTTCTCCATGAAGAGTGCGAAAGACATTGTGTGTGTGTTGCAAGGGGAAAGATATCAGCCATGGGTGCAAGTTGGAAAAAAGGCCAAGACTGAAAATTTTTTGACTGAAATACCTAACATACACAATACCCCCTCGACATATGCAAACTATCTAAGAAAGTTTTACCATAATACATCAAGATTAAATACTGTAAAAAAAATATTTATTCATCTGTCTTTTGATAAAATAACAACAGGACATAAGAAAATAGACCGATAACGTAAATCTAAAAAATATTTTTATGGACAGAAAAAAAAATTTCCGATTTCCGTCTTTGAGTCAGTCTTGTTTCCGTCCTCGGACATTTTCGAAAGACGGAAATCCGTCCTGGGGACGGAAGACTTGCACCCATGATATCAGCTCCTAGGTTTATTTTCTTGCTTTAAAAGATAAAAAAAAATTGAGTTAAAGGGAGTAAAATTAGAGTAATCGAGAATAATTAACATGAAATTGAAGTTAAAAGGGTCGGGAGCTCATAAAAAAATCGAGTTATAGTAATATTTTAGTTATCGTACTTCGAGTTATAGCGAATTGACTGTATATATATCAAGCTAGAATAGAATAGTAGAGTTCCTTTTCAATAACAAGGAAAGTATAAATGGGACAATCATGAATAGAAAAGCATGTCATTTAAATTAAAATTAATAGAAATCAATAGATTATTTTCTTTGAGCATAATTTTTTTTTTTTCATTGATAATTGAAATATTTCACAAGAGAAAAAATTAACTTAAGAAAAAATAACTGTTTTAAAGATATGCTAATAGGAGCAGGTAGAGGGTGGTCACGATAGAAAGTTTCAAAATTAAGTATGACAATTATAAAAATTAAAAGACTAGTTACATAAAAATATCACACTATAACAAGATTTAATATGGTATACTTTAATGCATAAAAATTTATAAGAAATCTTTAAAATAACCATTTTTAAAAACCCACATGGTAATCTACCCATGTGGTTATGGTATTCATAGGTAATAACCAAATATTTAAACACAATTATCATTAAATGCATTATTTATTATTTCTAAAAACAGTTCTTAATACTTCGTTACCTCATTTAAAATGTGCTCAGAGAACTTTTACAGACAGAGAGAGTGCTTATTACTCTAAATTAAATAAATTCTAGACAATTTACATTAATACATTTTGAAAACAAATTTCAACAGGTCCAAAGGTAAAAACAGAAATTTAGTTCCTTTTTGCAACATTTAAAACGCTCACCTGCAGAAAACTAATTCTCTAAGAACTTTTTTTGTGTGTTGTAGTGGTAAAAATAACTTCAAATTTACTTGCCTGATAATCATAGGTGAAATATTAAAATTAAATACTATCACAAAAAAAAATTGCCTACAAAGAGGAACAATTTGTAATCTCTGCTGTAGCTCACTTCAGCAAAATGATACATTCCACTGTAATTCCATTAGACAAATAGAGTGAAAAAGAAACCCTCACATGTACATGAAATTGCATATACACTGAAGGGGAAAAAATAAAGCATGATGATCATCCCTATAGATTTTAAATTGTAGCCCAGAGAGAAAGAAAAAAAAATCCCACCAATTTATTCTTTTATTATTTTTTAGAACACAAAATAGCAGATCTGTTCTGCTTTCAGCAGATTTCTGATCACAAAATAGCAGTTTTTTAATATATTTTGGCAAAAATATCCTTCTCTCCAAGATCGTAGTTTCAATCGCCAATAGCAGCCCAAATTATTCAACTGAACTAAATTTTATAAAGTTCATTTTAAAAAGTAATACAATACAAACAAAACAAAAACATCAACAACTGCATTAAAATTATTTTATTTACTTAAAAAGTTGTGGATCTTACATCACATCCCTTCAAGCGCTTTTACAACATAATTTATTAATTTCTTTTTCTATTAGCACATTTTAGAATGAAATGTAAAAAGAAAAATATAAAATTTTTACATCATAAATCACATAACAGAGATAATAAATTTGCATAAAAGATAAAAACGATTTTCTCGAAATATATGCCAATCACAAATATTTATCTGAACTAATTTCATGCAATATAATCATTATTTTTTTTCTTCTTAAACATTCCTACAGACAAACCAGTCTAGATAGAATCCAATATACTTTTTGCATGGCCGAAGCAAAACAAAGAAAACAAAACGTCTCCTTATTAACGAACAAAGTGATAATAATCATTTTCAAAATATAATTCAGTATTATATATTATTTACACTCTGATGGCGGCACACATTAAGCTTTCTGCATAGAGTCAACAAAATTCAAGATAAATATAAATATTCACCCCAGCTCCAGTACAGTTAGTTTAAACACTGGTTAGCTTGAGTTTAAATTTCAATCACCATAGCTAAATAGCAATGATGCTATAACATTGCCCTACAAACTTGTTGCCAAGAGTCGAAGTATATTTGAAATGAAATATAGGTGTGATTGGAGGGAAATACTACCCTCTTGTATGAGATGACCCGATTGGTCGTAATAATGAGCAGCGTGGCTCTCAGTACTTCTGGACTCCCTAAATGGCAAAGTTTTAGTATTAGCCTCGAATCATTGTAACAGGTCATCAAGATTAGTAAATGCACATGATCCCAGTCCAGCTTTTGACATTAATTTTACAAGTTCTTGAGTATGGGCTATCGCTACCTCAAGAGGAGGCTGGCGTGGTAAGTTCTGGGACTCTAAAATAAAGACAAATATTAAATTAATACAGGTTACAAAATAAAATCATTCACACAAGGAAATCAAATACAAGTATAATTATATACAGTCAAACCTTGATATCACGATCTTGGATAACAAATTTTTCTATATCAGGAAAAAACTGAATAACAATAGGATAAATGACATATTGTTATATCAGGAAATCAAATACAAGTATAAACAGCCACACTTCCATAACACACATTTTTATTATCAGGAAAAACTGAATTCTTTACTTGTTTGCTATGTTGCTAATTATCAAAAAAAGTTTTTTAAAAAAAGGTTTCAACCAAAAATATATTCTCAGTCATTCTTAATTTCACGAAATATTCTTGCTCACCAAAATTTTAATTGATTTCTGAATAATTCAAAATTTATTCTTATTAATTTCAATTCATAAAAACTTTTTTAAACTGTTTTAAAAATAATTTTTCGACACCTCTAACACAAAGGACATTATTATGCTTGAAATGAAATTGCCCAAACGATCCATTCCTAAAGAAGCAGGCAAGCAATATGAGTGACTATAATTATCAGTGATCCTCAATTTTCAAAAATACTCTTGCTCACAAAATGCTTTTTTACACTTAAAATGCTTTTGTACACTCGAATTCCTGAAAAATTTTCTGGAACAATTTTACAAACTATTTCTTGAAAGCCTAAAAAGAAAGAGATTACCATGCTTGCAAAGTAATTGTCTGAATTATAGATTCTTAATAGAATAATTGAATTACAGATTCCTAAAGTAGACACGTAAGACGTGTAAGAGTGGAAAAGAATATTTGGTCATAAAATTGGGCCAATCCTATGAATTAAAAAATAACATATTAATAACGAAGTAGTTACTGTAGACAATAATGTTGTATGAGCTAAATAGAATTAAAAAAATGAAAAGAGGCTATGATGTACTAGAAAGATGCATTAGATAAGGACGATGACAAAACAGAAGTACTTCAGCAAAATGTAAATTAAATAAAATAAATAAGCAAATATATTGACATTACTCATAAATTAACATCATTTGAAGTAAATACATGTTTCACAAGCCTGTACACTCAATAGTTTGTCTGAATCGATTAAAAAAAAAAAAATCTGATATTTGATTAAAATAAACAAATTTCAACATTTTGATATTTCTAGTGTCTCCTTTTGAGTTTGTAATACTAAGGTTTGACATTAGAAAGGTAAAATTATTTAAACAGAAACATCAAATGACAGAGGATTGTCACATTTTGCAGAAATTCAGCACATGAAAAGTTCTTGCTATGCCAAACAAATATTTCAAATTGTTTTTCAAAAATATCTTAAGTTAAAAATAATAGTAGATAATGAATCAAAATGCACTGAATTTTTTCGTTTTCGGAGAGTTAAACAAATTTTCTAAATAAACGCTATTCTGAAAAACTTTCAGTTTAAAAAACAGCTAAAAATAAAATGTGATCATTGACTGTTGCAACACAAATGAAGTTTTCGAATTTGTAAATTTATTTACAAACAAACTGATTCACTCTATCACTAATATGTTAGTTCCCTAATTTATTTACCAGCTATACCAAAATCACACATAGTAATGAGGTCCAAAGGTAAAAACAGAAATTTAGTTCCTTTTTGCNAATGAAGTACAGTGAGATTATAAACAATAGTAAATAACAATAGCTAAAAATCATATAAAATCACAAAATCACCCAAGAATAACAATAAATTAGGTATATAAACCTTTTTGATTTACATTTACTTGTTGCACTAAAAAGAAAAATAGAAATAAAAGCTTAGTAAACTCAATTACCATACAGATTATAGTACTTCATTGATGTGCAGGGGCTGTAAAAACTGAAATTTGCTTACATAATTTTAGTTCAGTTTTTATCACATTTAAATATATATAAAAAATTAATAGAAAATATAGCTCAGGCTAGCCACTAATAAAAATTGTTAACTTGAAATTGTTGATACGTTCTCTTATTGTTACTTTATTCTGTCTTAGAAGTCGTTATGGCAAATTTAAACTAACAGAGAGTGTGTTAGAGACTGTTTCCTACTTGAAAAAATTTGGCAATTTGAAACAATTTTGTACATTAAATATATTGTATAGAAGAAACTCCTACCAAGAATTGCACTGTTTAATGAAGCACATACAGGCTCTCTTTGTACAGGATCTAACTGGAAACCAACAGGACTTGCCCATGGGTCTGCATATGCTAAAAGACTAAAAGCATCCTAAAACAAAAAATACATATTTTATAAGTTATAGGTTTTTCAAAATGACTATTAAATGTGAGACGTTCAGTCTAAAACAATGTCAATCCATACTAAGGAACATTGAACTAACTGTACTAAACATTTAACTTTAACATAAACATAATTTTTTAGGTAAATTGATCCTGGAAAAATTTTTTATGCTTAGCTCATTTTTTGTGGAAAAAGTTGGTTGTGTAACTAAAAGATCTCATTTCTAAGGAAATTTATTGAATGCCTTATTTCACATTAAGTTAAAATTGAAATACTTAAAATTGCAGCAAAAATCTAAGTATCAGTTCGATAAAATTATATTATGAAATTAAAAAAAAAAAAAAAAAAAAAAAAAAAAAAAAAAAAAAAAAAAAAACAAGAAAAAATAAAATATTTGCAAATTTTTTAAACTTAAGAAATATAAGAAAGATTCATCATATTTAAAAAAAACTTTAGCTTTAAAAGATATTAAAATTGAGCAGTAAACTTTATAATATTATTGATCAATATATAGTTATGTAAGAATTATTTTAATTATTTTTAAACCATATTTCAGAGATCTCGAAACATTTCAGGATTCCCAATATATTTTATCAATGGAAAATGGGAAAAAGACCATTATATGCCCAAACTTAGCACACATCACAATTTTAAATTTATCACAACAATTCTAACAAACAAATTTTTAATCAGTGTAATCTAATAATCTATATGGATCAAAGCAGTAAGACAGAGACTAAAACTTTACTCTAAGAAAATTTTGACATCAATGTTTTAGATTATTTTAATATATTTAGCATATGAATGATGGGAGGTGAAAATAGAGCATTACATCTATATCCCAAAATTCTACCCTGTCAGAAACACAGAACTATTATTTTCATAATTCAGACTAGGCTAATCAACATATACTTTTTTTATAACCTTAAAGTTTAATAACCTAAAGTTTAACTATAGATCAATTACTGTTAATTTTATAAAATGCTATTAAATATTTATTTTACAATAAAAAAACAAACTTTCTAAAGAGAAAATATATGCATTAAATCATTCTCTAAAACCATACTATAGTTTATCTACAAAAATAGCTCTAGCTCTCCTCACCAAAGTCTAAGAAGGCTGTCTGCTGCTTCGTAAAAAAGAAATATCACATTTCTAAGAGGGGAGCTTCAACCCCCCCTCCAGATTCCCTTTCATTTGCGTACCAGAGCCAAATCTTGTCTTAAATATTGAATCAACATCTCTATTTGATATAGTTTAAACCTTATAATCAGACTATACTGGGGCTGCCACTTTCCAGAAATAGTTGCTTCAGATATGAAAAATTGTCTCCAAAATAGTTGCCGTGGACATAAAACAGTTTTTCCCACTTGACATATACTTACAATATTTATACTTTAATAATATAAAATAATCTATTTCTTTATACATTTGCACTCAATAACTTAATTTTAAATACACAAAATGCAGAAGCCTTAAATCCAATCAGCTGAAGCTGCATAAACGTCACTTTATGTAGATGTTTTCAGAAATTTTCAAATAAAAAAAGAAGAAAATATATATTTGTAGAAAAAATTTGCAAGATATTATGTGCTGTGCTCAGGGCCGGATTTAAGCTTGGTGGGGCCCTAAGCTACTGAAAATGATAGGGCCCTAATAAGTTCAATTCCATTTGTATATACCTAAAGTAAACTGTCATTATTTTTTATTGTGGAGCATTAACATTATATTATTAAAAAAAATTATAATATTACTTGATTGTTAAATATATTGATTGTGTTGACACTATAATGTCGAACCTTTCTTTTACTGCACACATTTTTTGAATGAGGGAAAAAAGTTACAACAGAAACACATTTTAAACACAGAGTAAAAATTTAACGTGCTGGATGGGCCACTATTTATTTAACAGAGGTTTTTTTTTGTTTAATTCATGTTGAATGTATTTTCTTTGCAATTTTTAATGATTTTTTGAGAATTTTTTTCTCAATTGCTTTTTTTTTTTTAACGTTACATTTTGCTTTGCTGCTCAAAATCTATAAGACTTAGAAACATGAAATGTTGAATGTGTGTAAAAAATATGTAAAGAGTTAAAAAGAAAACAAGAAAATACAATTTAATTATTCGTTTTATTTTTTTTATAACAGCCGTTGAACAATCGACTCAATTTTGAGTTTACGACTCCAAATGTTTAACTCCGTAGCCTTGTAATTTTGAATCCAATCCAGAAGACAAGCGAACTGCTGTATCAGTACTCAGAGGTATTTATTTGTTATGAGAACGTGGAGGACTTTGTGACCTCAACAGATTTAACATGCACCAGCCACCATTTTATACATGGGTATTTTTCTGCTGGCTGGATTCAAACTTCCATTCCCACGAACACGAGTGCTACGCCCTATCAACCAGGCTACCCCGGCCAAATTTATTAGTTTATTTTATAACAGTCATTGCACACCCAGGTTAAAATTTTTGCTGGAATTTGTTTGCTAGACAAGCATATAATGCTATGTACCAGCTAAAATACCAGCATATACTACCATAAATCTTTGCTGGTTCCAGCATAATTACTAGCATTCCATACCATGAANCTCTGCTCTTGATGGTGGCTAGGATGTGAAAGAACAACAGTCCCGGGCATCCAGCCAAAACGAGCATTCAGCATAGCAATGGAACACACTAAAGCTTTATATCAATTAGTTTTAGATAATTACAATTGTAGAATAATTATTTAATTATAGAAGGAAATGTTTTAAAAGACAAATATCTGTTAATGTTAAATAAGGAAAAAAACAGAACCAATATTGAAATCTAACGAATTTATTATTTTTAATTACTGATAAATTTTGTGACAGAAAAAAAAAATTAAGGGCAGATAGATTTCAGAATTTTAGAAACACCTAGTTTTACTATTCAATCAAATAGGTTTTATTGTCTTTCATCCCGTCATTCAAGTGCTAAATTTGATATTTTAAAAATACACAAACACTATTCTATAAGATGTATTCAATTTTCCCATGCAAAAATATTTATTAACTATTGAATAATTTTGCCAATAATAATAAACTGCACTTTGTTAAATAAAAAATAATTTGAATAAACTGGAACTAATGAGTATTACATAACTTCATTTTTTAATTTTCTTTCTGAATATTTATTTTCCCCTAAGAGTCATAGAAATTTTTTGGTCTATAGTTAAATATTTCATTTTTTAATATATGTCATTTAAATACAGCTTCATGAATCTGTTATTTGCTGCTCAACCAATCCCATATACACATATTTTTTTTAAATAAATATATTGATTTTTTATTAGTATCCAACAGATTCTTTCTTGTTTTCCTTTAATGAAGTGTTTGGAAACTGTTCCTTTGCACCCGCATGTGAAATTTGAATACTTTAGTAACACCAATTTTTATTATTTAATATATTTGCAAAATATGCAAGAAATGCGACTTATCCACTTTTTTTTTTAAATTCTTAGATTATAATAAAATATGTTTAACATAAATGATAATTATATTGTGGATGAAAAAGGATAGAATAATCATGCAATTGAAATCCGTTATTAAGGAGGAGGCTGTAATTATTGAAAGGTATTCAGAAGAAATCTAAGTACAGTATAAAAAATAAATAAGTCAGAAATTTGGCAATCTTCAGAAAAATGCTAATTCTGTAGTTTAATTCTTTATTATAAAGTTATGTATGAAAGAGCAGGTTGGAGGTATGGAGATAATATACCAGAATAGTAGAGATCATTTTCAATTATACAGAATAAAGCATGAATAGTAAAATATGTCACAAACTTTTAAACAAATGTTGGCAGTATTCAGTGACTGAAAAGTTTTACGGATAAACTATACAATTAGAACTATATTCTAGTTTTTTCTATTAACAAAAAATTTCTTTCAATCGTTTCTTATTCTTTCAATAAAACGTTTCCTTTCTGATAATGATAATAAGCATCTTTTTTAATATTGCATACTTCCTGATAACTTGCACATACAGGAAACTTGGGAAATTAGGTGAATAATTTTTGATCAAAATCTTAATAAAGAAAAGGAACTCAAGTTGAAATTAACTAATAGCTAGAAAGTGCATGTTTAATACAGAGAGATTTAAAAGGTTTTCAAATTAATTAATTACAAAATTAATTCAAAATTAATTTTGTAACGTTTACACTATTTTGCCATTTCCTAAGATTCCACCACACCATAGCATTATAAGCACCCTCAGATTCATATGTTTTTTGTTACTATCATAAAGCCTCCATGCACTTCAAATAAATCCAAACAACATATTTTTAAAAGAAGCATAAGGTTATATGATAAAATATAAAAATGAACATGTTAACATGATTTCACAATCATTAATAAATAGAACAAAATATGCTTTGGTAAACAGACCTGTAACATTTTTTTATTTGTAGAATTACTACCAAAATCTCTCTTTAGCTGTACACTCATTGAATGAAGCTCCCTACCAAAATTTAACATTCTTTCAATAGCAGCTTGGCTGCCACCACACACTTGCTTCCTATTTGAAGGTGCATCAATGTCTGAAAGAAATTATATAATTTAGATATGATGAAAGCATGACCAGATAACTGACACAAGGCACAGCCAATTAAAAATTAAAAAATAATTGCAAAGAATGTATATCCACACTTTTTAAAATACATTAGATCATTATTAGTAAATCATAATAATTTAAAAAACTATAAACTAGGATTATTTTATTTGAAGGGTCAATACTCAATTGAATTTCTTAAAAATTATAACTTCAAGCTTTTTTTTTAATTAAATAAGAAAAACTTCATTTCTTTAAAATTTAACAAACCTAAACCAACTTTTGGGAGCATTCGGCATGCCTAAAGCCACTGACAGTTTTACCAATAGAGTACCAGTTCTCAATGGCAAAAGTTGTGCTATTAAGGAGAAAATTTATAGAAAAAACCAATACAAATGTGAAATGCTCAATATTTTGAGGAATTGAGTAAAAATACATAATAAGGAAATGAGAAAAAAATTAACTAACTAAAAACAATAGGATAATCAATTAAGTACCCAAAAAGATTTTGAGGATTGATGTACCTAATTTTATAATCAACGATAGTAAAGTGATGAACTTCTATTAATGTAAAAATAAAAAAGTTGAATAAAATTGTACTTTATAATATCTGACAATCAAACATACAACCCAACAGGAATAAAAAAAATATAATGAAATGGCATAGTGATACCAATTTGCCAATATTTGAGATATTAACGAATTAATACTAAAATACTGAAAAGTTGCAAGTCAGGAAAATAAAAAAATAACTGAAAGATGCTAAATATTACAGCAAAAAATTAAGTACAATTTTATTTTTAAAATTTAAATTTAATAGTACTATAAAGTACTGATTCACTAGAACATTTTAATGGGGTAGAGAAATCATTATAAATAATATTCATTCATAAGGCTGGATAATGTATGCACAAGTCATTTTCTCAATCATAAAAAGTTTTAAAAAGAAACAAATAAAAGACAGAAATAACAGTATACTGCACTACACCAAACACATGTATAACCTATGATCGAAACTTAATTCATTATTCTTGCGCTTTTGTTCTCAATTCAATATTACATTATGACATCATATCCATAATTTGAAATGTTGATTTGTTGTCATTCATTTTCATTCAATCTCATGTCAATTGCATTAGAAAACACTGAATTTTTTGGGATAAATTACTGTATAACTTATATACTTAATGGTACAATTTTCAGTAAAAGGAACATAAAACTGTTAACTTAGGCTAAAATACACCACAAAGTTTTTTCACATCCATAAAACAGAAAATTGAAGGTTCATGAAACTAAAATTTGTCTTAAATTACTATTATGCTTTATTACTACCTTTACTCTGTAAGCTACTGCTTTAATATAAACTTTTTTTAATTAAAAAAAAGAGAGAACATTACTTCCGATTCCCATAATCTTTTACATCTCATGGACTTAAAGAAAGAATATATAAGTAAGATCTTTGACATTATCATCATTTTATTTTAACAATAAAAATTAGATAAAACAAAGAACATCTTTTAAAAGTAAAAAATAAAATATCTGATTTTTTTTCTTTTAAGAAAGGACTTTTTTTTCCCTTTTACTGAAAAAGATAAAGATTAACAAGTAAAACATACACAAAAAAAAATCTCCTAAGTTAATCAACTAATTTTACGTGTTGAATTGAAACCCTATAAAATAGCAAGATGAAACTGAATGCTGAACTTGCACTATTTCACTTTTAAACAGACAAGAAATGGAAGAAACAGTTTCACTACAAAAGGCATGTTTAAATCAATTTATTTTTTGATACATTTCTAATTATAAATTTATAATTTTAATTGTTATCTCATGTTCAACATGACATCCGTGTGTTACTTTGTCTGTACAAATCTGAAAATTATTCTATACACAAATACACATTCGATAACTACCAATAAGGAAATAAGAAAAAAGAAACACGCTAAAAATTATACACACAAGCAGCATAACCGCACATAATGAATTAGAACAAATCTTACCACCTACAAAGGCTTTGGCTTATCCTAAACTGAATGTGGAAAAATACTTAATGCTGCAACAAAAAATTTCATAAATATTTTAACTAAATTCAGTTTAATTAAGTTTGATTAGTTAATATTTCCTACATTGATATTGAATTAAATATGAAAAAATGTCTGCCTTGTCAAGTATCAGTCAGAGAAGTATCGAATTAATTATTATCATCATCATCAGGAAGTCAATCAGTGAGTTCTGAAACATGAAGCCAGAGTAGTGTGCACTTTTAAGAAGTAAACATTCACTCAATTGCAAACTTTCAGAACAATCCAGTTCATAGTTTTTCCATAACCTAATTCCTTATTTGGTAACAATTTAATTTTCAATATTTAAAATTAATACTGCAAGAAAAAATAAACTATAATAATACAGATGAAATATTATAACTAAGGCCCGGATTTTGATGACATTTGCATTTTTGGACATTTTTTGTCACTTAGAGCATTTCTTTAGATTTATAGGGCATTTTTTTAAAATTTTTGGGCGTATTTTGCATTTTAATGCATTTTTTAAAGTTTTTTGTTAATTTTTCCAATTCTTATTGTTTTTTATCAATTTTCATTATTACACTGGCTTCCAAACAATGAAGAAAATCTATAGGATATTAAGAGGTGAAGCAAAATCTTTTCAAATTGAAGAAGAATTGTCAGTAAGTGAGACAGTCTTTTTCAAGTACACGCCTATAACATCAGTAGACGTTGAAAGAAGCTTCTGCAGGAATGAAAATTTACTTTCAGACAAGAGACACTCGTTTACATTTCAAATTATCGAAAAACATTTAATAATCCAATGTAATTCTGATATTTAGTAATATTATGAGATGGAAGTTGTTATATCCATTAAAGTTTCTATACAAAATAAAAATATTTTGGTGTCAATATATTTTCCTTTTTTTGTTATTTTAGGATATAAAACATATTTTTCAAACTTTAATGAGCGTAGAACAGGTATTGCATTGTTTTATATTTTTTAAATGACTCATAATAATTTTAAAGAGCAAAACATTTTTTTAATTCAATATTTTTACTTAATTTAAGGCATTTTTTGCGCAAATTTTACATTTTTAAGGTCATTTTTTGCGCTTTTTAAGGGCATTAGTTGAGATTTTTTAGGTCATCAAAATCCGGGCTCTAATTATAATGAATGATAACATTGGATTTATAATTCTTAAAAACGTAAGAACCTTTCCTATAATTCTCAATTTGATTCACACCAATCAATTCTCTATTTAATTCTTTTACATGCAACATCAGTTTCAACAATTTGGAGTGCACTTCGCAAGCTCTACATCACAGAACTCGTTTAATGAAGTTAATAAAAATAGCTAAGATTGTATACAGATATCTTGCGATAATGGCCATGCATTTCATTTCTTGAAAGAGAAAAGGATAATTCTATCAGTTAAATTTCTTTTGCAGGTCTAAAGAGATTAAAAATTTGAAAATGTTTACATCAGTTGTAGCAAGGGTTTTGTAGGAAATGAGAAACTTTTACCACCTAAACTGATAAATGGTTAAAAATTTATAATTTTATGTGTTTTTCTTTTCCCAGACTATTTTTTTTAAAAAACTTATTTACTAAACAACCCAATCCGTTTTCTTCCAAAAACACCACTAAATAATGTGAATATTTAGTCAAAATTTAGTTGGAGAGGTTAAAAATTCCCACGCAATGGATCTTCCAAATTTTCTTGCCAGTTTTGGAGTGCTTCCAAGAGGGAAAAAAAATTTATTTTAAGCGTTTAACTACTTCCGTAGAGCTATAGAATTAAAAATATGAAAAAAATCCACGGAAAGAAAGAGATTTAGAGGGATTTGTCACTAAAATACTTAAATTTGTCAAGATTAAAAAAATAGAATGTTTCTCTAAATGAAGAATTTTATTTTATTTGATACATATTCCAACTTTTCGGCTTTAACATTCAAAAATAATTAAAAATAACAATTTTGGCCATTGCTTTTCTCGTAAAATGTTCTTTGTTACAACTGTTCATGTTTTAAACTGTATCACTTACAAAATAAACACACTCCCTCAAAAATCAAATATTGGTTTTAAAAAGAAGATTAATGTAAGGAGGCATTAACAAAAGAGGATAGAAATATAGCCAGGTAGGGTTCAGTGGGAGAAAATATACTAGTAAAATATGTTGTGTTTCAAAGAAATAAAAGAACAAACTTTTAATGTAACCTAAATTTGGAAAATAAGAGTTCAGTTTTGCCTTTCTTAATAATTATAATATCACTAATATTATAAACTTTGACAACAACTCTAGTATAAGTTCATTTCTTAAATTTTTCCCCTCCAAATTATCAATAGTATGAAAGAATAGAATAAAAAATGGATAAGGAGGAAAAAAAAAATCAAAATAACTTATATATAAACAGTCACATTTGCTTAATTCCTGAGGTTCTAATGGAAATAAAATCTAGAGAATTAATAATAGTAGTATTAAATATTACTACTAGTAGTTCTAAATATTTATAACTGATGTAGAATTATATAAAAAATATTGTTATCTAATGAGGAGTTCATTAAAAAGATGTAAGAAATAGTACAGCAAATATCACAACTATTTTACAATGTTTTTTATCATTCTAATTCATAACTATTGTAATAAAATAAAAAATTATGAATAGAGAAATTATATTGAACTAAGACTTGTTTCCACCAATAACACATATTTGTTAAATAATTTGCAATAACACAGTTTTCATAAACACATACACAGTCACATGAGGAGGAAAAGAGCAAAATATCTGAAAATGCCTATCAACATAAATTATGAGAAAAATAAATAAAAAAACTTAAAATTATTTTGCATAAAAAGAAAAATATTTAATTATTTACACACTTATTTCAAGTTTTTTTTAAACTATATTTAAACATCAAAAGTCTAATGAACTGTTAAGCAAAGCTTCATATGAAAAACATCATTAAAGAGAATAGAATAAAACAACAAAGTCTTCCAAAATTACAAAATTCTGCGAAAATTCGTAAGAATCTCATACCTGAAATACATTAAGAGATTTGAATCATTATCTTGAAATGTAATCGAAGATGTAAAGTATCAGAATTTCATGTGGTGTAGAAATAATGATGCTTTACAACAATAGCATATGCTGCGAATGATAAAATATGATCTGCAACAAAATGCTAACTACAATCAGTAACCAAAACTTAAAAACAAAAACTTCCATTAACAGTTAATATAAAACATAATGAATTATATTCTGAGTGGAAAAAATATGTATCAATAATAATTCCCAAAAATCCAGATGAGCTTTACCATAGAAGTAAATGCATTATGTCAAAACAAAATTAATGGTTATGATGAACTATATAATTTTATTTAAAATCGAACTAAGGAGTGGACAGAAGGGTTGGTATTATTCAAATCATCAAGGCGCCAACATCTAATTGGATCTAGATATTTTAGAGATGAACCATAGATTTTTTTTTAATAACTAAGATTGCTTAGCTGGTAAAAACTTTGCATTTCTTCACTTAAAATAAGCAAATATAGCACATCAGATTATCAGGATTCTAAGATAAGATTATATAAGAATAAAATTTATCTTAATTTTTTATGGTTTCTTAAAATCATTGGTTTAAGAAAAATTAAAGACAAGAGGGAAACTAAGCAAGTTTAGTAGTTTTCTGTAAAAACTATAACAGGGTGTGTAGCCAAATCTCACAACAGAAAAAGCACCTTTAAAGTACTTTTTAAGCACTCAAAAAATATTTTTAAGAACTGTATACATTAACAAAATGCAAAATAATTTTCAAAGACTTTATATGATCATGATTAAATAACTAGTTTTTGACAAAGAACTCTTTCTTTTTAATACTAGCCACCATAAAAAGATCTAGAGATTTTTAGTTTCATTTCAGGGGGTGGAAAATGAAGTATGAAATTGAGAATATCTTGCAAAATGCAGCAGAATTGCACCCGAGAGTGTAAGAATCTCACCGAACCCAGCTCAGTAGACACACATGTGGACTCCCAAGTATTTCATCAAATATGTAACATGATTGGTGCTATCATATGCTACGGATCGACGGTAAGTCAAAATAGATAGTTGAAAGAATTGTGGAAACCACGCTTTTGCATAATGAGCAGCAAAAATTGACACGGTAAAGGAAATAAAAATCTCATTTTCGAAAAGAGAAAATTAAGCACTCTTTAAAAGCACACTAATGAAAAAAGCACCTTAAAGGGCTTTCAAAAAACGAAAATAAGCACCTTAAAGGGCTTTTAAAAAACGAAAATAAGCACCTTTAAGCACTTTTTAAAAACGTTACACACCATGTATAAATTAGGTTTCACTGAAATTCAGTTATTTTTTCACACACACACATAACCAAAACATCATCATTCAAATGTCAATGATACTTTATAAAAAATGAACTTACCCATTTCATTCCCAGTTTTTTCTTGATTACTTTCAATTTCATCTTTATTGTGATAAGATATCACAGTTCCATTTGTTGTATAAGGCAAAGTCCTATCAGCATTATCATTTACAGTATCTAAATTCTCCATTTCAACATCAGCATCTGAATGGATAAAGTTTGAGGAAGTCACCTCGGAATTGCCATTTAAAACCTCCCCATTCATCACCCGATTGGCTGCATTCATTTCTTCTATAGAAGACAGACTCACAGTCACATTGTTATTTACATTGTTTTCTATAGTCACTGGCAGGGAAGAGGATTTGGGTGAAATGAATGGGGAATTGTGAGGACTGCGACTTGGAGATGTGGTGGACACCACCGGGGAGGTACATGTGGATAAATTTGCTGGCCTATGGTGAAAGTATACATTGGAGTAGTTAGGACTCATATTTGGAGAATTGCTCTGTGAACGAGGACTTTTGGTGGGACGGACTTCACTGTCAGTTCCGTTAACCATTTCAATAAATTGTCTACATTTCAACATAAATAATAAATTAGGATTTTGTTCCAAAAGGCCAGGATATAAATTTTGAGTAGTTTGTATTGCTTCTCCCATACGTCCAGCAAGAACTAGTTTTTGAATTCCTAAAAAGTAAATACATGTAAGTTTGGTATACTTGAAATTTAATATTGCAAAATATAAAATTTATTAACAAATACTTATGAACAATATCACTAACAATAAAAATTATAAATATAGATATTGATACAAAAGCAAGAGACAGTAGTATGAATAATTTTTTCAAACAAAAACATAGTAGTCCTTTGCTTTTCTTTTTATCAGCATTATTTTTTTTAAAGGACAATAATTCATCTTGAAGTTAAAAATTTAAATATCTAACTTATATTAAATTAGACACAAATTAAGATAAAGTTTAACAATTAAATTTTTTTTTCCTACAAAAAATTTAGTTGATACATCAATAGAAAATTTGAGGATTGGAAAAATCAATATTAAACATTTATTATCAATATGCCAAACTATTGGAGTAATTTTTATAACTAACATAAGTAAATCTAAAGTTTTTTTTCTCCCAAACTTCTAAGTAAAACAATAAATTTTTATAGCCTTGATAAAGGGCAATATTTTTGCTAGAAATAAGTCTGAAATACAATGGAGAACATCATAAGCAATAATTTTAAAGCAGCAAAATAACAAAATTTTCAAAATTATAAATACTGCAATTTTGATGTTATTGCCATAAAATTTTTTTGAGTGCACATTTTCAATAATAATTAATGATTTTTAAAAGTTCTTGTGTACAATTTAAAGTTTCAAATAATTTAAGCAAATATAATGAATAATAACTAAATAATATGATTTGGAAGAAAGTTTAAAACAGATGGATCAACATATATTGTAAACTTGTTTAATGCAACTTCATTTTCAAAGTAAATATTATTTAGAAAAGATATAACATATACAGGTAAAATTAGTGTCATATTATATTAAAAATTTACACCTAATTAATACATAATAGAAATTTGTTAACCATAAGCTAATCCATACCGTGACAAACAAACATTAAATGAATAAGTCCATCACAAACAGAATATATTTAAATAAGAACAAGTCTCTTATTATATAATTAGTAAATGGTAAAAAAGCAAATAAATCAAAATAACAAAACGATGTTAACATCTGAAATATTACTTCCCTGCGTAATTCTGATTTACACAAAATCAGGCATCAAAGCTGTTATTTGATTTATAAATCTCACATGAGAAGGATGCATTTTTAATATTAACTTTGATCAGACATTTGTATTCAAATTCCAATAACATGATTTTTATTTGATTATTGCATTAAAGTAAAAGCAAATCTTTCCTTCTTTTTTTTTCCAATCACAGATTGCTAAGCAAACTGTTAATGATGAACAATTTCGCTTAGGATACTACAAAAGAAGCGTAAGGGTATTTTACACAACCTTCAAATTAAGTATTTTAATAAAACTTCTCATGAGAAATCAAGAAAATTTTGTTCGAATATAAATTATTGATTCGCAGAAATCTACCAGATTATTGGAATTCTGCAAATTAACGTAAGAATCACATGCCTGACAAGCATACAAGTTATAAATAAGTAATATCTTGCACAAGAACAAAAAAGAAAAGAAATTATAATGCTTGCTAATAGAGTAGCAAGTCGTATAGACATTATGGGTTACTAGTGATTATAAACCAAAAATTAGTTTAGAAATGAAACTTAATTTTAAATATAAATTATTTTTAGTTAAGTGAAAAGTACTTTTGAATGGCAAGTATTTAAGAATATATTTGAAAGAAATTGATAAGTAAGAATGTTTTGTATAAATAAGAAAATCTATTTATGATGCAGTGAAATTCAAAGAAAAAAAATTTGATAGAATATTTACAATAGAAATGTAAGATTTATTTAATTTAGGTTTATTGGTCAATTAGAGCTACCGTAAACTTTTAGATTATTTCCAAGATATATTTACATGGTTTTTATATGACTGTGCCAAAAAAATGCACCATTTCTGGGCACCAGTTTCTTCCTGCATAATTAAGCTAAAGAAAATCTGTATTTCGTACAATCACTGTCAATGATAAATTATTTTTCACATGACGCTTAAACAAGGCATTTTAACAAAACTTTTTATGACAAATCACTGTATTTCATCAAGAAACCACTTGTGTTATTAAGGTTGACTATGTAGAGTTATATAAAAACTCTTCAATGTCATTCAAAATAAACAATATCTTGAACTGGTATGATGTAACTGGTTCAATTACAAAATGAAAGGTGATCTAATCAAATTAGAAGAGCACCATTTATGAATTGAAAAACAAAACAACAGATTTAAAATTTAAAAAAAGTTTGGAGAAATCATAAGTCAGGAGTGACTTAATAATGAAGATAATAATGCATATATTTGAAATTATAATATTACAAAACAAAAATTATGTTTCCATATAAGTCCTAAAATATTTGAAAACAAAATAATAACAAGCTAAATGATTATATGTTTTCTACTAAATCAAACAGAAATAAGTACTTAATTTCTTCACATCATATGATGTTCCTTATTACACAGAATGATATTCAAATTAAAAGTAAATTAATTACATGAATGTCGTGAAAAATGTATAACGTACTTTGTCTATTTTTGATAGATTTGACATCTTCTGTGAAAGCTTGACCAGTGCTTTGAGCAAATGCTTCAGCTGCGGAACAATAGCCATGATGTACCAGATATGTCTGTACAATTCTAAAAACAAAATTATATTTAGAAACATGAATTTAAAGAGCAAATCACACTTAAGAAAATAATACAAATGCAGTGGGTTGTAAAAGTATAAAGATAACATTTTACGAGAAAAAAAGGACATTTTTTGGTACAGTAAACCATACTACTTTTATAAAGGGCAAACAACAAACTAAAAAACAAAAATAAATAAATACATTTAAAACAGATTTTATTCTAGAATAATAATAAAATACACTATTTTTAGTTTTAAAATTACCTTGTTCAGAACAGTATATGAACTATGTCCTGAATCATGCATATATCAGTGGTAAGTCCCTTAATTCTATTTATAGAATTTTGTGATTTCTTTCGGCATTTGAAACAAAATGATGTTAGATTAAAAATTAAAAATTTTAGATTCTTAGTAACTATCTATTTTAAAATTTACATTTGAACTTTCGAATAAGATATATTCTCAACACTAGCAAAAATCGGGAATATTAGGACAAAAAGCTAAAAATCAGGTCAAAAATTTGAAGGAAAAAAAATTTTTTAGTATCAGGACAACTAAGATCTTTGTAAATGAGTACGACATCTTAGAAGGAAAAAGTTATTCAAAGTTTTTTAAAACTACTAAGTTTAAAAGAAATATTTTGTTTAATGACTAAAGATATAGTAATTAATTTAAATAAAACAGCAAAAAAATAATAATATATTTGGGCATGCAAAATTGTAACCTAAACATTTATAAACACTTGCACTTCTATAAACACACTTTTGCAATCTTTTGCCTTTCTTATATAATAAACAAATTATTCCCAATGTCATTTAATAATAGAACAATCTATAAAAGAGATAAGATAAAATGTTCAAGATTTGTTTAATGAAATTTAAAACTAGTACAATTCATTAAACAAAGTAGAACCATAATCCCTTAAACCTCTTTCAAATAAATACCTTTGCAGGAATAAGACTGAAGAGGGAAAAAAATGGAATAAAAATAAATTAAAAAATTGATGATTGAAAGAGAATTAAGAAAAAAATTTTGTGCAAGCAGATTTATAAAGTTACAATATTTTTGTTTACCTGCTGCTTTATAGGGTTAAAAAATCATGAAGAATAAATAATACATTTGAAAAAGAAATAAGACTATATTGTGTGCAGTAAATTTATTAAATAATAGTTTTGTTATATGTTGCTNTACTACTTTTATAAAGGGCAAACAACAAACTAAAATAAATAAATAAATACATTTAAAACAGATTTTATTCTAGAATAATAATAAAATACACTATTTTTAGTTTCAAAATTACTTTGTTCAGAACAGTATATGAACTATGTCCTGAACCATGTATTTAACCAGTGGTAAGTACCTTAATTCTATTTATAGAATTTTGTGATTTCTTTAAGTATTAAAAACAAAACGATGTTAGATTAAAAATTCAAATTTTTAGAATCTTAGTAACAATCTATTTTAAAATTTACATTTGAAGTTATGAATAAGATATATTCTCAACACTCGCAAAAATCGGGAATACTAGGACAAAAAGCTAAATATCAGGTCAAAAATTTGAAGAAAAAAATTTAAAAAATTGCAGTATCAGGACAACTAAGATCTTTGTAAATGAGTACATCTTAGAAGGAAAAAGTTATTATAAGTTTTTAAAAACTACAAAGTTTAAAAAATAATAATATATTTGGGCATGCAAAATTGTAACCTTAACATTTATAAACACTTGCATTTCTATAAACACACTTTTGCAATTTTTTGCCCTTCTTATATAATAAACAAATTATTCCCAATGCCATTTAATAATAGAACAATCTATAAAACAGATAAGATAAAATGTTCAAGATTTTTTTAATGAAATTTAAAACTAGTACAATTCATTAAACAAAGTAGAACAATAATCCCTTAAACCTCTTTCAAATAAATACCTTTGCGGAAATAAGACTGAAGAGAAAAAAAAAATGGTATAAAAATAAATAAAAAATTGATTGAAAGAGAATTAAGAAAACAATTTTGTGCAAGCAAATTTATTAAGTTACAAAATTTTTGTTTACACGTTGCTTTATAGGGTTAAAAAATCAAGAATAAATAATACATTTGAAAAAGAATTAAGACTATATTGTGTGCAGTAAATTTATTAAATAATAGTTTTGTTATATGTTGCTTCATAAAGTGAAAAGATAAAAACTTTTTAAAACAAATTAAGAAAACAATTTTGTGTGCAGCAAATTTACTAAGTAACAATATTTTTGTTTTTATATTGCACCATTGAGTAAAAGATCACGAAGTATAAATAATGCATTTGAAAAAGAAATAAGACAATTTTAAGAGCAACCAATTCGCTTACATGCTGTTTCAGAAGGTGAACAGATCAAATAATGCATTATTTGGAAACAAATTAAAAAACAATTTAGTGCACAGCAAACTTATTAAGAAATGATATTTTTGCTTATATGATGCTTCCCAGGGTGAAAAGATCATGAAGTATAAATAATGCATTCGGAAAAGGCTATTTTGTGTGCAGTAATATATTTTTATGGTGTTTCATAGGGTAAAAAGTATCAAAATCACAATTCACAGCATTTTTCAAACCTTCAAAAAGAGAAATTATTGAAAAAGCTTTAACTAAATAGGATTAAATTAATGCACAAAAATAAAACTATCACATCTAGAGGAAAGACTTAGTTATTACTGAATGATTTACTCCAACAGTTATGTAAATTTTGAAAAATAATTATTTAAAAAAAAAAACATAACTATAAAGTTTGTTGATATATTTGTTACAAATTTCTTTAAAATATTAAAATAACAAAATAAAAAAAATTCTAAGATTTCATTTCATTTTTTAAATAAAAAGGAATATTTGTCATAGCTTATAAAACACAAATGAGCTATTCCAAGACAATATTCCCAATTTTGTCATTTTAATTTTCGCATAAACATCGATAGGATTACACACATAGGATCACATTTTCAAATGAAAATTCATCCCAACCACACATCAGTTGAAATATTTTCTAAAAAAATGTTTTTTTTTTTAGATGTTAGCAGTAAGAAATCTCTTTTTTTTATTACTTAAATTCTTGCAGCATTTCAGATTTACATCAAATATTCCTTAATCCCCATAAAATAAAATACAATATTCTTACAATAAAATATGCATTATTTCATAAGTATTGTGCTTAGTTATGAAGGATAAATAATGGCATCTAAGTTCACATACAAAATGTAGTTCTGCTTGAATTAATGTTTAATGTATATTTTAACTGTTAGGTTGTGAAAATTTTTTTTTTTTAAATAGTCTTTTAGAAAAACTACCACCAGAAAATAAATTTTATTAGCAAATCTACCTGTGTAATGTAGTCTGCCACTCTCCCTGTTTATCAATTACAGGAAAACGTTCTATGGTAAGTCTTGTGCGCCTCTTCAATTCCTACAAAATGAGGGAAAATAATAAAAAAACTTAAATTTTTTTTAACAAGCCTAGATACAAATGAAAAAAAGAAAAAAAAAAGATAGCAAGAATTTGCTACCATTTTCCTTCATTTTTATTAAATTCATGGGTATTAGAACTCTGGTAAACAAGCATCATTTATTATTACATAATAATAGAGCCCTACACTGTTATTTGATATCCAATGGGCACAATTGTATCTATTTAAATAAACAGTAGCACCCATTTTCAGCAAGGATCATTTGAAACATGAAAATGATTATCCAAATTTGCAGTTAACTTAGAAAGAATAAACACATTTGCAAATTGTGTTAAAACATGAATATGATGTTCTCAAAAACATGAACATATTTATTTTGAATTCTTTCGCTTAAAACTTTTAACTTTTCTTTTAATCAATTTGCTTTAATTTTACTGCCTCGTTGTCCAAAGGTTGCCCAGTAGTTGGATTTACTTTAAAAAATGATTTGACTATTTCTAAAGCAAAACTTTTTTTTAACAATAATTAGTAATGTATCATTATTTATAATATTACTTCATTCTTCTAAAATAAAACTGAAAAGAATTTGAAACAAGAAAAGAATTTCTTGCTTAAAAAGTAGATTTTAATACATTTATAACTTTGAACAGAAGAAAAAACTCTTTTCTCAAAATCTGAGATTTTGTTTCAAGTGGGTCTTTCTGTAAGTAATAAAATATTTCTTTCTTACATCACCATATAAAAATCACATGGAATGGAAAATTTTACTAAAGTACATCGATATTAGCAATATGTTAACAATCTTATTTCTAGCTGCAAATGTATATAAGGTCTCAAAATTGTTAGCACAGCTTGCATGATTGCACTCAAAGCTTTTAAATATGGTGTTATGAAGGCAATGTAAGAAAGAGATTAAAAAGTTTTATTTAAAATAAAACTTTTTTAATATTTTGTTTGAAATTAGAAAAGGGCAAATCTTGTCACCTCCATTTCTATAGAATAAAAAAAAATTAATTTCTCAAGCTCAAAATAAATTTGATAAATAAATCTACAAGTCAGTATTGGTTTAATTGTCAAAATGCAAGAATACAGCGTAAATAAAATATCACTTATTTTTCACTGAATCAGATAGCTACTGTTAAAAGTTTTTAGTTTCATGCTTCGTCGCATGCTTTCATTGCTTCAAACCTTATCTGGAATTGTGATTAGACACGCATGAATAGAAAATAAACAATCTTATTTCACCCAATTCTAATTTTATTCTAAAAAGCAAACCTGCGCTATTTTTATGAGAGAAAAAAAGTTACTTAAAACAGTTTTGACTGTCCATTTTCCATAGACCAAATTGAACTCTTAATAAGATAGAATGAATGAAATACCATAATACATTCCCATAAAATAAAAAAATCCCATTTTTAATTTCAAAATCGCTTTAGACGAAGCACTGCACAACTCACAGTAGGTAAAGATTATTATAAATATAGATGAATTTTATAGAACTCACAATAAAAAAAGTAACCAGTAACAACTAGTTAAAATCCCCCCTCTTAACAAAGTTTAATAAAATTTGTTATAGAGCAAAAGACTTCCAGAATTGAATTATTTTATAGCAGGCATTAAATAATAATGGAATGAAAACAAAGTGAATGTGCAATGTTACATTGCTGTACAAAAGTAATTAAGCGGATAATCCCTGAACTCATAATTTAAAAATTCTACGATTACTGTATAGTTGTATGGCAGATATCATTTTAAAAATCAGATAAAGGAGAGTAACTAATAATCTAGATACTACAGAATTCCACCTAACAAGATTTGTTTCTGCATTTGCTGACAATAATAAAAGAGCATATGACCCCAGAATTCCGAACCATAAAAATTGGGTAGGTTAAAAATGTTGATTAAGTTTCTTTATCACAAAATGACATAAGTCCCATAAAAAGTTTGAAACAATGAATCTTGTAAGAAAAGGGTAAGGCTATGTCTCTAAACATAGCACGGATAGGACAAATTCCAGTAGATTTTACGAAATATAAATTTCATTATAACTTTTGCATAATGTACTAAATATTTTACATATAGAGAATTTTTATTGTTATCAAAATACAAAAACTTTATTACACTAATAGCTATAAATGGTCAACAATATTATCCCTTTAATGATTGACATTAAATTAACTTGAAATGTTTCTTATTATGTTAATGCATAATTTTACATAGAAACAGACAGCTAATTTATTGTTGATATATAAGTGCTTATAATAAATTTAAAAAGGGAACTCTGAATAAAAATAAACTGGAAATTTTAGGGGAAAAAAAAGCTTTAAACTGATGATTACTATAAATAAGACTAGCTTCATTTTCTATTAGTATTACTAGTTCAACTATTTAAGCAACCAATAAATTGTGTGAAAATTCTATTTCAATAGGGATTTTTTATTCTATTTCAATAGGGAAACATACTCAATTTTAGAGAGTTTTCTAAAATTTACAAAAAGCGTATTTTTTATTAAACCAGTGGACCAGGAGAAAGTGACAAAATCCTGTAGTTTATGGGTAAATCCAACAGAGTTGGCAGCTATGCCTGAATCACACACACAATTAGATAACAATCCTTAAATTTAAATTATCAAATTCTTAAGATTTCTACAAACATTTTAAATTGAAATAAAAAGATGTTGGATCAAAAATCCAATTCTTTTTATTCTTAAAATGGATTATTTCAATATCTGCATTTGTATATGAAGAAAATGAGATGTTCTGACACACAAAATCAGGAGGATCAGGACAAAATATTTTTATCAGAAAAATCAGGATAACTTACTATGACCCTTCCAACAAAAACTTTGAAAACAAAATAATGAATAAAGCATCAACTTTAATGTGATGCAACTATAATTTCAAAAAATAAAATTCAGTATTAACAAAACTTCATTATTGATTCAAAAATTAGACCTAAAAATTTTCTTGAAGTTATTTTCAACAATGTTATACAACTAACGTTATACAGATTATGGTATAAAATGAAATATAATTACAATTTATTGTCCCAAGAAATTAGATGCAATTAGAACAATGTCACAACATTTGGGACTAGAAATTTTTGCACAATAATTAGGTTTATTTATTTGACTTCAGTTATTATTATAAAAAAGTCATTATATTACCAACAAAAATAAAATTTTTATCTATTCTATAAGACTTATGATTTTTTTGTAAATTGTATCATTATAGTAATGTATTGGTTATGTATTTAAATTATCCAAAATCGTATGACATGTACTTTTTTAATTTTGATAAATGTATGAAACAAAATACCTAACTATGTTCATTTTACTTTTATAAACATAGTTATTGTAAAATTGAAAGAAATATTCTTATAGTAGGCAATGAAACAAGGAAAAAAACACAATTTGATGAGTACAATTTAAAAATTTTAATTTAATATTCAGAATGCAGCTGAAAAAAATGATTTAAATTTTACCAAAAATTTTTTCACAAACAATCAAATTTTCCTATTTTCAACAGATTAATTATATAAAGAAAATAATTAAATGCAAAACAATTGATACTCTAAAAAAAAAAGGTTTATAAAGATTGCTTTCCAAGATAACTGAAAAATATTTTGTTTCAAGTTTTGAAACATAATTAAAAACCGTATGAAAACAAGTAAAATAAAAATTTACAAGAAAATTAATGTTTAATTACTTTCATCATATCTTCTATATCAAAGACAAAAGGAGACTGCCCAAAATTAGCATCTACTACTTCCCCAGGTGTTTGAAGACCAACAGTGGGATAAAGATTTGGCTATAGAAAGAAAAAGCAAGCACATATTATGAAATTAGTAAACCTATTTATTAATAAAACTAATACAAATATTTGAAAAATTCTAATTTTAAAAAAAAGAAAAAACTATAATAGCAAAGTTTGTGTGTCTTTTTAATTTATACCACATTTAGCTTTCATCCTTTACTTATATTTAAATCCAAGCAGGGTTCCAACTCAATTTCAGAAGAAAAAAAATTCACTGATCTTTTCAGGTATATAAAGCTAATTTCAACAAAAAATCCAGACCATATTTTATCTATACCCTGGAATTTTTCACCAGAAAAAATTAATTTTTTTAGTTGTACTGTCAAATATCAGATTTTGCGAGCAAAAAAATATCATTGAATGAGGATGGAAATATGTCAGTCTAACTAAAATGTTACATTTTAACAAATAATTGCAACAGATGTTAAAGTTATTTAACCCCAATCTCAATAACTGACTAATAATACTGAGAATTCTAAGACTTGTTATTTTTCACGTTTGATGTAAGTTTTAGTATAAAATTGCAACTTTCCCTGACTATTTCCTGCTTCTTAGAGATAAAATAAAATTCCCTGACAATTCCAGGTTTTCCTTGTTCTCCCAAACCAGCGGGAACCCTTTTTCAGACTTTATGATAATAAATGGCAAAACTTTTATAAGCAAAATTTTTATTTAACTGTTTTAGAAATTTTAAAACAAAACAAGCATATTTTTTTTTTCATTTTGTGTGTCACAGTACTTTTTAATTATTAAGATTTAAATTAAAAAATTCTAATTAAAAAATTTAAAATACCACTTGTCTACTTAAATGCTAACATATAAGCAGATTTACTCAAAAAATTAAATAATACCTAAAGCATAATACCGTACGGAACCCATTATCCGGAATTCAGAAAACCGGAACAAAATTCGATGCATTTTCCCGCCATTTAAAAAAAATAAAATAATAATTTTTTTTCCCTCATAAAATTTTAGGATTTTTCTTTCTTTTTTGAAAGATGTTTACCTTACAATCATTTTGGAAATAATCATTAGTGTATTACTTCAACGTTTTTTCTTCTTTTTAAGATTATCACCAAATATTTTTTTTTTAGTTGGGTTTAACAATAAAAAAAACGTCTTTTTGTAGCGATTCAGAAAACCGGAAAATCAGTTATCCAGAATAGCGATGGTCCCGATCGTTCCGGATAATCGGTTCCCTACTGTAATTAAATTTCTAAGCTAACATAAAATTTTAAATAATTACCGGAAGATCAGTAAAAGCAATGCCTAAATGATGACCATTTTTTGTATAAAAGCACGTGTTGTCAATGAGATTCACACCACAACCAATCACATCCCCAGTAGTAAAAGTAGGCCCATAGGGTTGACCAGTACCACTAGAGCAGAAGCTATGTCCATCATCACCATGGTAACCATATGAATGTTTGTCCCAGCCTAAGCAATATAAGTTTGGAATGAAAAGGAGAAAATTTTCTTGTACACAAAAGAAAACCTTAAAATTAAAAAGTAATTTGAATACAGAAGCACAGATCTATTAACTAACTTCAATTCTCTTTGAAAAGTAAATAGTTTTATATATTCATGTTTACTGGAATATAAACTAGAAGTCAATTAACCTTCAATTCTGTGAAAGATAATCACAGCCAAGCAGTAATTGTTGTTATTTTCAATTAATGATTGATGAACATATAGCGTTGTACATCTACCATATCATAATTGATTCACAAAAATGTCAACAACTACTGCAGCATACTCATTTTCTTCACCACATTTCACTTTATTAGATGTACAGTACGAGATTTTTAAAAAAATACAGAAAAAATGGACCACCTAGAATTATTTTTGATCGAATAATCGGATCTTTGCATTCTAGGATTCAATCTTAAAGGTCCAAGGAGGTGACCTCAAATATGCTAAATAATAAGTGTAGACAATATTTTAAGTTATGAAAGCAGACACAAAACATATATTTTTTTTTAATAAATGTACTTTTTTTTCTATTTTATAGATTCAGATTTCTGACCCCCATAGCTTGGTCAGGAAAGTAATTCAAAGTTAGGACCCCTTAATGTTAATTTTACTTTTTGAGTTTTCGCCTTATCTCAAGAACTTTTTAAACAAATTGAAAAATTTTTGAACACAACTATAAAAAATTTTTTTCTCCAAAGATAACTAACTCCATGCAAAGATGAATTTAAATAAGTATTTATTATTTTTTTAATAATAGTCTAAAAAATTTTGAATTGTAGGGTATGCAATTTTTTATATCATTTTAAAGTATCTAATTTTACATGGCAAAATACAAACTACTTAAATGCATACTTTTGCGTTTCAACGTATTTGTAAATAGAAATTATTATAAAGCATTAATATTGAACTGTTTTGGACATACAATATTGCCTTGTTTCGCAGGTAAATTTAATATGTGAAATGATCTATATAATATAAAATTCTTCAGTGCAAAGCTCCACATTTCAAGATTTTCAACTGTATTTATTTTACTTCCATTCATTTAAATTTTAAAGTAATACAAATAAGAAAAAAAAAAGAAATTAAGAGCAAACTTCATGAAAAATATTGTAAACAAAAGTGGAAAATATAAATACCTGGAAGTCTATTCATATTTACTCCTTGAGCAGAAAGACCAACTCCCATATAACTGTAAGAAATATTGAGATCAAAATTTAAAAATAATAAAGTAGAGAAAATAAAAAAAAAGATAAAATAAAACAGAAAGCAAATTATGAGAAATTAAACTAATATAGTTCAAAGTTGCACACAAAGTAAATTAGCTCCATGTTCCTCATCTACAGTGATGGTATTTGGTGCCAGTGATATGTCGGTCAATCACTTTTTTTTTTGGCATTCTTGCAATTTTAACACCAATCTTTACAACTAATATTAAGGCCTATAAATTATACCCTACATTAAAGGCCACTCTAAAGCTAGCTTTCTGCAAACACTGCACAACCATGCATTGCTTATACTGTCCTCTCTTTTGATTTAAAACAGACAGTATACAACGAATTGCTCCAGCATATTATTCGTATTTTTGACCAATTGAAGATATGTAATCAATGGTTACTAAGCGATTGGATCCCCACTACTCACCAATCACTTCGGTTAATGAATTGGCACCAGACCTTAAAAGGCCTCTCTAAAGCTATTTTTTCAGAAAGACAAAGCATATTGTTTATACTATTCTGACTTTCCCTGATGCAAGATATATCATTTACCATAGTTACCACATTCTCCTGATCTTTGAACAATTGAAAAGATGTAGTCAATGGTTGCTCAGCAAACGAGTTCGTTGAGGCTCAGTCTACGAAGCTGTATTGACTAGGGTTCTCGAAAATACTATATACTCTCTGTTAAACTCCCAGGACAGATATATGCTGCTATTTCTGCCAGACATGGCAATTTTGTAATGATTTCTTACAATCTATAAGTTTTAATTTTCAATAAATTTCATCAATTACTCTTTCAATAATAAAGTATATGTCCAATAAATATTATGAAATTTGGGATAGCAATTATAATGACCAGCAGTGTAAAAATATATACTAAAGTATAAATATATAACTAATGACTAATTAATATTAAAGTAGAAATTATAGTTTTGAGCTTAAGAGACAATTTTCACTTTATCCTAATATTTTCTTTTATTGTTTATTTTATTTGAGAGCGTTCATCTAGTCAAGGAATTTTGTAATAGATTTGTTGAAATCCTTACATCATGCAATTATTATTATTAATTTTGTTTTAATTTATAAGTTTTGCATATTGGAGACTTAGTTTTAACATAACTGACTAAAATTCAAATTGTAACTTGGATCAATTTAAGAACAAAACTGATAAAAAAAAAGTTAAAAAAAGTTTATAGAAACCTACCAATTGAACTTTTAAATTTATAACACTGTACCTTTCTTTTTATATACATATACACACATACATGTATATATATGAAAGGAAATAAGGACATAAATAATTATTACAAGTCCCATAGGTTAAGCCTCTGAGTAAAATTGCTCTTAAATTTTCCTGATACAATACATAAGTAAACAGGTCTTTTCATTCAGTATCTGGAGATTCAGACAAATCTGGGGCTGACGCTCAGGGGGATTAAATTCTGTTTCTGTTATTAGAATGTCTTCTTTAAAGTAACTTTACAACACTAGAACTTCCAGCAGGGTTAGAACTAAAATAAATGCTTTATGGTAAAATTCAACTATTCAGGAATATTTTATAATAAGGCATAAAAAAGTTCTGAAAAATAAAAGTTTATTTAAAAAATTTCAGTTTCTGTGATATTTTTTAATGACGAAAAGACAAAACACCACCAATAATTTTCACATCATATTTACAAAAGTAACTCAGTTTTGAACACGTTCCCACTCAGTTTACAAAATTAAAAAAGTTTTTCAAATGTTATAAAATGTGATACTAATTTTGTTATCATTAATAAAGTTTTAAACTTTTTTAGCTTTTCACAGTGTACACTTATATATCACTTAATTTTTATAAAGCTAACATACCATTTAAAAATCCAGCAATTAAAAAAAGCAACATTAAGAGAATTAAATTAAAATTAAAGAATAGAAAACACTAAATAAAAAGGAATTTTTCTGGCAATCAAATGTAGGTATTAATTTTATAATCATAAAATATTATATAAATTTAAATACAAATTTAGTAATTAAATAGAAATGAATTAATCTAAAATAATTATTATAAAAGTATTATGAAAAAAATAATGAAATTTATCAAAAATATATTGTAGATTTAGGTAACATAATTACATAGAAATGCACTAAATAACAGGACATAAATAGGATATTACAAATATTACATACACACATAAAGTATAACAAATATAGAATATTACAAACATAAGATATACTCGGGAAAATAAAGAAATTCAGGACCATTAATCTACCCATCACAAATTATTTTACTGTAAAAATAAACCCATCACAAATCATTTAATCATAAAGATAGGTTTTTTGCTAAATATTTTATAGTTAATGCTAACCCTGCATAATATGTTGCATTTTAAAAATGGATAATTTACAATTCATTCTTCCTTTAAAAAACAGAGTTGATGACATAGAAAATGGTAAAAGGTACAAAACTGTGTGGATTACTATATTCTGTTCAGACATTTATTTTCAAAATAAATAATTAAGTTCATCAGATACCACTGCAGGCATCAGTTAATTTTGTCCTCAAATTGCATTACATCACTGCTGCAAATGATTATTGTTTTGAAAATATTATTTAAAAGTTTTTTCAGTTAGCACCAATATCAGCTGAGGAACTTGGTAACTAATTACAAAACTTTGTGAGAAGAAACTCATATTTGAAGCAAAATGCAACCAACTGTACATTTGTAACTCTGTCTAGTTTTTTTAATTGAAAATTAAATTTTCAAGTCAGTCATTTTTTAGGGCATTTGTTACAAGAGCAAAATACTGATATAAACAGAAAAATATTGAAATGAGAATCAAGTTTACTGCCAAAAGAGATTTAATTCTTATATTTATAGAACATATAAATAAAAATAAATAAATAATGCAATGTAAAGATTAAATGGAAAAATTTATACCCATCTCGACCCTTGCTAACTATCTTCACTTCAAAATAATATAAACCACAAGCAGCAGGGATTGGATGTGTAGCACGCACACTAGCAGCATCTTTATGGTTTTTACCAGATCCTAAAAGGAAATTTTTATTTAATAATTTATTGACATAGCCAGAGAATAAAAAGTATACAACTTTTTTAACTTTATATAAAAACAAATAAAAGATCACACAGAATTAAACACTTATAAGAGAGAGAAAAAAACTCATTATCTTTTTAACAATACATTTTTAATAAAATCAAAATTTAAATATCTCAAATGTTTTGGAACAAATTTGTAATGCATCTGCACCTTTTGTTTGAAGATTTTCTTTACACTGAAGGTTTATAAAAATATAAACTTTTAAACCTTCTACTCTAAGTGAAAATGTATCACATTTAGAACAACTGAAAATAGAATCAAATATTGCAGCTCAACTAAAATTGAAGTTCCTGGTATAACAGTCATTTCTCAACATCAAACATGCATTTCACCAATAAAAAAATGGCAGATCTATATAAAATATTATGATCGTCAGATGTCCCGGCAATCAGTATGTCTGACTGCAAAGCAAATGGTGACGGGTTTGCATGGTAGCGAGGTTTCAAGTCATGGATGCTTCTCTCCATGTGCTGATCTCTGCTGTATGATGTCTGAGTGTGGCCTACCCTAGGAACCAGTCTGCGGCAGTGTGGTTTGGGTAATGCCGTTCGTTTGTCTCTACTGCTTAGATTCACAGTGCATACCAGGTAACATAAAATGAGCAACAGCACCGGCATTTTCAGAGGTGATAAAGGAGAAGTTCAGTGTATCCGATTTCTTTCTTTCAAAACACCTTAAATTTATATCAATCTTGGCATACGCACTTAAACTTAAAATAAACACAGGCTAAAAATTTTTTTTATTCGTATCACTTTAATGTTAAGATAAAAATCCACTACCAGACAACCAGGTAATTTCTTAATTTTAAAACACTCATCAGAAAATCACACTTAAACTAAACTAAATTAAACATGAAAGTATTATGTTGAAACTTTGCCCCCCCCCCCCACTCTTCAGATCATTATTTGCATGCACAAGTGCAATCCAAATCCCATATTGAAAATTATTATCGCAGATGTTGGCGAGGAAAAAAAAAGAAAAAANAATGAATGAAAAAAAAAAGAAAAAAAAAAAAGAAACGGGTACTGGATACATAACAAAATCAGCACATATATACAAACAGTGAAATCTCTCGGGAGCGACCACTTTCTGTCCCACAGTAAAATGGCCGCTAATGGAGGTTGGTCGTCATTAGAGGCTAACTTCATTGACTTCAAAGTTTTTCCCAAGCAATTTTAATTTTACTCAGTGTCATTTTCTTAGTGCAGAAATACCCCTCTTATTGGCAACATGAAAACTAGATCAATGAATAATATTTGGAGTCAATAAAAATGATCCCTATTAATATAATTATGTGTAAAAACAAATTTACCAATTATAATTTAAAGAACTATTCTAAATAAATGAACCTTTATGTTTGCATTCAGTTTTATATCATAAAAAGAATTAACTTCAAAAAATAAAAGGTTTGTTTGGTAGAGATGCTTAGTTTTATTTTTTAAATTAACTTTTTTTTTCTAATTTAACTTTTAACTCTAAAAATAAATCATTGATAACATCATCTTTGTACACTCACACTGGAACAAGAGTCGAGGTTATGACTAACAATCTCTCAATGAGATAGTTAAAAAGAGCTCTCTAAATAAGAACCACTCAGAGATATTTTGAATTTACGTATTTGCTTTGTTAATACTTTTAATCAGGGTTGACAAGATTTTGCCGCAGGTGGAAAAAACCATGGTAAATACCAGTAAAAACCGTCCTGGCAAAAACAGGTTTTTGCCAAGCAAATTGGCAAAAAGTGGCAAAAACCTATATTTTCCGAGATGAGAGGACAAAAACACATTTTTGATAAAAAATTATTCCTAAAATTGAAATATATACTACAAATAAAAATAATCATAAAAAAATTAACAAAATTATTATTCCATAATTAAATCATAATATATCGCTTTAGTAGTTTAAAGCATTATTGATTGGAAAATTTGCGATTATTCTCTTTTTTCCAGTGAAATGAACTTGTTTTAAATTAATATAACTATAATTTAAAGCATAAAATATCTATCAAGATGTGAAGTTAATTACTGTACAAATAATAATTTTTTATAATAAATAATAATATTATACAAATAATAATATTTATTTATTTGTAAAAAACCATTTATTTAAGGATTCTAAAATGAAAAGAGGTCAAAAACTTTCAATCTTTTAAAAATTATTGCCTTTATATTAATTATTAATATGTTAAAAATAATTTTTTCATGTAGTGTATCAAAATTATTATTCCTTATGATTGATTTAAATTTGTTTCAAGTATTTTGTAATAATATTTAATCAGCAATTTAGATAATTTGGTTTTTGCCACTGTCCTGGCAAAAACCCCTTTTTGTCAACAAAAACTCCAACCCCGCTTTTAATTATTATATTTTTTCGCGTTTCTTTACTTGACCTTTTCGGCATTTGGCGTGGAGGTTTGCACAGTCGCTGGGAGAGATTTTGATGGTCTCTCCTAAAGGTTTTCCATGGAAAAAATTCTTTGCCCCCCAAAAGTGGTCATAAACAGAGGTGCCTTTTCTGGAGGTTTCATTGTAGGATATATTTCTGAATTTCTTTTTAAATTTGAAATTAGCTTGATGTTCTTAATTTTACAACTTTTTTAGGAGTTAATATAATATGTTATAAAAATACACATATTTAAGTAAACAGAATTTTGTAAAGAAAAATCCAAATATAGAAAAATTAAATTATTGAAAAAACTTAAAAAACACATTTAATTTTTCAATTTGAACAGATATATTTTCTTTTAAATTATGATACAAAAATGCTTTAAAACATAATATTGAATGAGAAAATCAAAAATCAAAGAAAAAATATATTTAAATACTTCTGGGGTCTGTCCAGTTATTTTGTGAAAGGTCCGGTTTTTGTAAAATTGTGAAAAAATTACTTGTAATTTGTGAATACAAAATAAACATTAAGTCACATTCTTTCAACCAGGGTCCTGCTTTTACGAATTCGAGCAAATATGGTCCTGTTACTGCAAAAAACTTTTTTAAGGAGTTTTTAAATTGTAAATAGATACAAAATTATGCGTACAGGGGTCTGTCCAGACATTTTGTGAAGGGTCCGGTTTTCGTGAAATTGTGAAAAAATTACTCACATTCTTTCAACCAGGGTCCGCTTTTATGAATTTGTGCAAATAGGGTCCGTTATTGCAAAAAAACTTTTTCAATGAGTTTTTTAATTGTAAAGACATACAAGATTATGCTCAACACTGCAAAATTATAATTAAAAATTTTTTTTTTTTAAAAATAAACAGCAATTGCAGCTAATAAATTAGCGATGCAAAATACAAATATTTGGTATTTAGTCTATACTGCTGAACGCCGAATATTCATTTCGGGAAGAATCGTCTGCCGAAGACAAAACTTAATTCGTTTACATCCATCTTTCTTGTCTTCTGCCCTGGGAAGGGTTCATTCGATTAAAAAAACAATAATTAAGATAAAAAAATTTGTGAAGGGACCGATTAAAAGAAAAATCATTTTGTGAAGGGTCCATTTTTAAGTTACAGTATTTTGTGAAGGGTCCGTTTTTATGAAAAGATATTTTGTGAAGGGTACGTTAACGGATCCAAATTTCTTCTAAACAGACCCCTGGCATAACACTAAAATTATAATAAAAAAAAAAATTTCAAAAATAAACAGCAATTGTTGCTTCTAAATTAGAGATACAACATACATATATTTGGTATTTAGCCTATACTGCTGAACGCAGAATATTAATTTCGGATGAATAATGAAAGAAGAGTCTGCTGAAGACAAAACTTAATCGTTTACATCCACCTCCTTTTTTTCTTCCCCCAGGGAAGGGTTTATTCGATTAACAAAACAATAATGAAGATAAACAAATTTGTGAAGGGTCAGATTAAAAGAAAAATAATTTTGTGAAGGGTCCATCTTTAAGTTAAAATATTTTGTGAAGGGTCCGCTTTCATGAAAAGATATTTTGTGAAAGGTACGTTAACGGATCCAAATTTCTTCTAAACAGACCCCTGTACTTAAAGAGAAAATAAAAAGATTTTTACTACCAATTATTTAATAGATTCATTTCCTCTTAAATTCAGTTACTATTATTATTTAACATGCTTAAATAATGTTATAAAAATACATACATAATGCTAAACAACACAATTTGAAGAAAAAATATAGATTTATTACTTTAGGGGAAAAAAATTTATAACTTTAACTTAGATTTTAAAACATAAAATTATGTAGTAACATGTACCAAACTTTTTTTTTAATAAATTCCATTAATAATACGAAACATAAAGATTAAATCATTGTTTCTTCATAGACAAAATAAAAAAAATATACACTGAGATGTTTCAAAACTTAATTTTATGATGATTAAAAATTAATGTTATTTAATAAAGGGAAATATGAAACTGGTTTTCACATTTTCAGTCTAAAATATTTACAAAACATAATATAGCCACTATTATAAATGGGATTAAAAACACCTTAATATATTTCTAAAAATATTATAAGACATTGCACCAATTTAGATTATAAAAGAATGAGAAAGAAAACACTATAAGGAACATAAGTAAGTACAATGAAGATATTTTGTGTATATTAATTCATAATACATAGTTTAGAGGAAAAAATAATTATAATAAAAAAATAGATATTAACACAAAACATTTAAAATTAAAAAGGTACAATTGCATGAATCTTATATTTTTATTGAATGAAATTAAAAGAAATGTTTGAATCCAAAAAGTATACTAATCAATAATTATCAACAATACGCGGACATAATGCTTATTTCCTGAAATCTAGTTTTTTTCTTTTAATGAATATTTATGTAGTTTAAATTGGGAAATTAGGCAGTAGTTTAATTATCAAGAATAAATATTTATGCTATGAAAATTAATTGGGTCATACGAAGTATATAAAAATATCGCACTGCGGAAAAAAGCGTTACTCAGAATTTATTGTTTACGTAGATCTTCCTTTCATAGAGCTTATCGCATTATATATTTAGCTTTTGACACATTATAATCTGATTTAAATAAATTATGACTGTAAATTACGTAATATTGCAGATTTTAATCTCAAGTTTTTAATGCGTACGACAATAAAAATTAGTGGATCTAAGTAAATATTCTCAAACAAGTAAACATTTCATTTCAAGGTTGAAAAACATTTTAAATAAAAAATTTATTCAAAGTATATACTTTATGATGTTGAATATTATTTCAATATTTATCATGATTCAAATGGACAAATGTCATTGTTATTAATTTAAAAAAATTAAACTAATTTTTCAAATTAAACAATTCACATTTCGATCCCAGAGGTTAGGTACGTCGTGATAATATTATTCTTATTTTAATTAGAATCTATTCATTTAAGAATAAGCAATCACCTGTTAAATACACAAAGAGGGTTTCACATACGTAATACATGATTACTCAAACAAGGGAGAAAAACTGAAGTTGAATAAACTTTCCTACCTTTGTAGTGCACTCTTAAATTATTTTGGGACAAGCCAATATAAGTAAATTTATCTTTAGGGCTCCATGATCGTGGAAGAGGTGTTTCATTTTCATTAACCATAGGATATAAAGTCTTAAGACGATCTGTTTGATGAGTTATCGAAGTTATTTGTGGCTCATTCCAGACTATGTGTTCATTCATAGTCGCCATTTGTCCTCTCTCTGAGTTCTCGATCATCTCAAACGCAATGTAGCGTTGAGCAGTTGAACACAAATGTCGAAATTCTTTGTTGCGCAGAGAATCTGATCAGAAATCAAAAAGTCATTCTCTTATTTATTTATTAACAGTAAGATTTTTTTTATACAATTTTTTTAAAACAGACTTTATTTTAATTTAAATGAGTAAAAAATAATCACGAGATCTTATAACGATTATGTAATTTTTTTTATAAACTTTAATTAATACGAAATTTTTCATTGATTTTGTTTATTTCAATCAAAAAGTTGACATTCGTTATGATTTTTATAAGATATAGAAATTTGCCTGATATTCTACAGTGTTTAAATTTGATAATTAGTTAAAAAATTGAGATTGCAAAAAAAAAAAAAAAACTTTTTCAGTTTATAAAAATAAATTAAATAAAAGAATATCAAATCTAATAAACTCATATAAAAGTTGCGCTATTAACTCTCTTCTTTTTATCAATTAGTGATGTTGCAAAAAAATAAGTAATTTTTTCATTAAAAAAGTAAAACAAAACTGCAATTAATTGCGCTTGCGCGTAGTCCTGCGTGTCAAAGTACGTACGAGGTTTTGAACTGTCACTTGTTTGAAGTGGAAATGAGGGAAAACAAAATAAACAAGTTATGTTAAGTATGTATGTTGTTGGAGTACATTTCGATGTTGGCTGATCATGGACAACATTTGTTTGTTTAATATTTTGTTTATAATATCTTCACATTTGTTTAAAAAGATATTTTATAAACGATTTAAAGCATACCATTGCTATTAGAATTAAATTCCCTTAGGCTTAGTAAATTTCTCAGTAATTATTTTATTTCAACCGTCGCCATAATGTGACCATCAATACTATTTGTGTTTTGTTATGTAAATTCATATCAATATTGTAATCATGAATTCGTACATTAAGTGATCATGCTCAGGACGTGTACACAACGACCGGTCACTCCCAACAAATTGAATGTTGATGGCATTGGACACTGGAGCTCTGCTGTTTACGAAAGTTACCTTACATCTAGCAACGATGGCTCTCTGGACTTTACGATAGAAGGTGGTTCGGACAATGGTGAATTTCCATTTTTTGGCTATGTCCCACCTGCAAATCGATCTTACTCAACGGGAGATGTACTGTTGGAAATTGAAGGACAGAAAGTAGCAGGTTACACCCAGAGGGATGTCATTACTTTTCTTAATCACTGTGTCAGGAACGGGAATTCTGTGAAAATCAAAGCTGTCAAATCTGGTAAGAAACTACTTCTGTACGATTTTGTTATAATCTTCACTTTCCAACTGTTTTCATTTTTATACAATTAATATTTCTACCAAAACAGTTCCTATGCATTCTCTATTCTAATGCAAATTAATTTGCATTAGAATGGAAATCAGTTTATTGGAGTAAAGTGAACCTGCTTTGATTGAAATATTTGAAGGACACAAAGCTTCTTTAATGTATATTAAGTATATTGAATTAATTTGTTGCTCTATAGGGCCCAGCATTATTTTTGCCCAGAGGCAGTTAGCAGCCTGGGGCCGTTTAGTACTTATGTAAAGCAACTCAAATGTATTGTTAAATAGATATTTCTATATCGGTACCTGTTGTGTGCATTACAATCAACAAGGTGTCAAAATATTTTTGAACTTGCAAAAATTAATAAAATATATATGTGTTTTGATTTGCCTGGAGGTAGCTACGAGTTATACTCTTCGAGTTATTTTTTCTGTTTATTATTTACATTTTCTTGAGTGCCAATTCCTGGAAATGGCTAAAACTTGATCAAAATTTTGTTGTGGGTATTCGTCTCTAAATCTTTTCATTGTTAACATTTCTTGAGTATTTTCATAACTAAAGTAAATTTTAATTAAAGTCAAGATTTTCACATCAGTTCCTTGCTTGCCTCTGCCTGGTTGTCACCAAAGCTTCGTTACTATTTTGGCAGATTGAGAGGATTTTTGTATCTGTAATTACACCAAAATTGTCACAAAACTGTGGCGACTATTGGACAGTGGCCTGCATGGAAATAAAGATATGGGGTCCCAAAGATATATATAATAAAAAGGGAAAAAAATCAAATCACAATAGGGAACCGAATTGAAGGGTTTAATTCTTAGAAACCCCACAAGAAACCTATCCATTATATTATTATTTTTTTTTAAAGATTTTCAAAGTTCAAATTCCCTTTTTTGTTTTGGTATATGTAGATTGCATGAATAGGCACTGCTATAGAAAAATTCCTGACTCTAAAACTGATACAGAATTTTTTTGAGGTTAGCTTGATATTTATTTGGGTGATAAAGCATTAGTACGTGTTCATAGTCACTATAATTGCTGAGGTATCATATGGTTTTTTGAACTTGTAAAAATTTTACGAAAAGTTATGTAGTGGTTTACCAAGTTGTTATATCGTCTCTGTGTGCAAGAATTTTTCACTGTACAGAAAAAGGAAGAAAATTTTCTATTTAAATTTTTTTCTAAATGTGAAAAAATCAATATTATGGATATAAATCTACATTATTTTGAAGCATATTAGGTATCAAGATCTGTCGCACATTTTTTTTTCTCTTAGTGTAAAAAGTAATTAAATTCATGGATATTTAGTATATTAGTTTGGAGAACATTTTCGTACCTGCCTTTTCTACAAATTATACTCTTTGAGTTGGTCATTTTCTGTACTATTTTTTTTAGTTTCTAAAATGCCAAGACTTGGCGATTATTCTATATTATATTTATTCTATTCTAGATTGTTATCTTCCCTTTTTTAATAAACTACTTTGGTTTATCTATATTTTCCCCCTCTGCGAATTCTCCTTGCCATTCCTTAGATTACACAATGTTATTTTTAGTGCATATATAAGAAATATTTACAATTAAGAAAATCTGATTATAAAAGTACTATTTGTTTTTGTTTTGTCATATAATAAAAATTAGAATTATTCTTATATCACAAAAGTGAAAACTTTAAGCATTTTTTAATCTATGATGCACATAGTTTTGTGTAAAAGAAGAATGCCCTAAATATGAGTTGTTTGATGCTTCTTCTAGTTGTGCTTCTGTTTTTATTATATTGATAATTTAGTGTAATTAACTAATCAATCCAAATTAAGGTTTGTTCAGAAAATCAGTTAATACAAATCTCATTGAATGCTTTTCAAAGCTTTATCTTTGGGAAAACCTTATGCTTATAAACATTATTATGGAGTAGAAAATTTTTAATTAAGCTAATATTATAAGATAAAAGTGTAATTTTGTATTCAGAATTTAATTGCGTTGGTAATAAAAAAATTCTATTGCTGGCACCTTCAGAATGACATTTATGAAATTCTGACTATTTATCACACTGGAGTATAATTATCTTTTGTCTCTGGAATATTTTAAAAAAGAATTATTTTATTAATAGTATTTCAGTAAATAATGCATTTTGTCAAAAAGAAAAACAGGGTATAATTTAACATAGACTATGGTTTTAGTGCTTTAGCTTTTATTAATAAAGATATCTTAATAAAGTGTCTTTTGATTGTAGGTTGTTTGACTAGAGACTTGCGTAATTTTCTGAACACCCGATTTCAAAAAGGCTCGGTCGATCATGATCTACAGAATACCATTAGAGATAATTTATATCAACGCACTGTTCCTTGTAAGTATCCATCCATCTTTTGCTACTCTCACTAAGCTAATTATGTATTCTTCAGTATTTGTAATTGGTAATTTTGTCTTTTTTTAGAAAATGTTAGTAGATTGCTAAATCAAATTAAGTTAACTTATAGTTTTATATACAAAATAAGTTGTATGCTTATGCAGAATAATAATATATTTATAGGTAATTTCGAACAAATAATATTAAACAATGTACCAGTGTCCGAAAAGTAGTTGGAGATTGAAAGGTACATTGCTACATTCTTCTTAGGAAACCATGTTCTATTCTCACTTAAAAAATTTATCTACAGATAACACTGCGGACCAAGAACACTATAAGACAATGGTTTCTATTGTATGTCAGATCAGTCCGATTAAAAACCAATAAATTTCTTCTTAGATTGTACCACATTATTACTGAAAATGGAAACTGCTTTAAACGTCACATATTATTGTTTTTCTCAGTTAGTAGCTCCATCTCTTTACCACCTTTGTGACTAATTTTAAAATTTGGAGAGATTAAAACGTTAGAATTCTGAGCTTCAACAAGTTGTAAATTTTTATCTCATTCCTTTTTTTTTTTTTTTTTTTTTNTTTTTTTTTTTTTTTTTTTTTTTTTTTTTTTTTTTTTTTTTTAATAGGATAATAAATTCCTTATAATATATATATTTTTTGATGATGATTATTTAATGATTATTAAATTTCAACTCTTTCCTCAAAAAATTATTTATCTAAGTACATTTTATCTCCTTATCTCCATTTTTTTATTTATTTCTTCCTCTAAATAAAAAATCATGTCATTCATATTTAAATTATAAATTTTCTATAGAATGTTTCAATTTGAAGAAGTTGTATCTTTTAAATTTTTAAAAATCTTTTAATTTATTTGAATATATTGTAATCTTTTTCCAAATTTAATATTATTTTATTAGTCTATTTTCCTGCATAATATTTCTGCTTTTTTTAATTAAAAAACTAAAATGAGAAATATATCAATTGCTTATTATTTAAAGCCTTAAATCCAGGGATAGTAAGGTTTAGAACAGAATGTATTAATCCACGGTTTAAACCGTCCTGTCCAAAACCCTTTTACTCAAATTATGTCACAATTTTATCTGAACAATATTTAAAAGGTAAAATAAACATAGAACTAATAACATATTAATATTTTAATCTACTAGAGAATATTTGTTTTTAAAAGTATAATGTTTTACAGTGTTTTCATTACAGAAAAAAATGGGAGAGAATTTCTCACCCTTTCTCAAAAACAGGGTGAGATTTCAAAAAATTAAAAAAACACGAATAGACTTGTAAAAAAATTATTTCTTTAATTATAATAAATTTTTAACATCTTCTAATTGAATATTTTTGCTGCATCATCATATGGAAAATGTTCTATATCTACTTTTTCATCGGCTATTATATTTATTTGGCTGAAAAATATCCGTATTTGTTTTGTTTTGACCGTTTCTACCGACGTTTCTTTCATTTTCATTTGTCCGTTACGGAGTAGAAGATGTCGTCTTAACAAGGTATTAGTCCATCTTACATTCATGCACAAAAATATAAACGTTTTACATGAAGAAACCTTACCTACAGTGAACTGCTGGTTGCAGAGAAATGTGTTCTGAAAGGGTTTCTGCTGTTCGCTCCGGTTCTGACTATACTGGTAAATAGGGAAGCTAGATAACAAGGACCAATGTTCAAAATAATGAAAGATCAAGGAAGAAAAGTGAAACGGATTTTATTCAAAATAGCAAAGGACGAAATTTTTTTCAAAATTCGCGCATTTTGAAATTGATTAATAGAGTGCACGAACTTCTCGCGTTTATAATTTGTTATTGCGAGAAAAGAAAAAAAATATGCAAGATTCTCGCGCTGTAGTGAAAACACTGTTTTATTAATATTGTTTGACTCTTCAATTTAAACATAAAACAAAAGAAAATTAATCAGTAATTAAGTTCAATTGGTCCTCTCATTCTATAGTACATAACTGAAGTTTGACCTTGCCATACAGGTTAAGCTATTAGGGACTAAGTGCTTGATTAGTCATTAACAGGTTTATTTATCTATAATGCTATTCTAGAATACTTTTATTTCATTCATGTTCGATTCTTTTCGCATAGTGATGATACATCACCAGTGTCAGTAACTGAAACTGATGTTATGCCCTTCAAAACTGTTAATACATTTTTCAGTTATTTTGTATTTCCAATTTAAACTGATATATTTATGTTTAAAAACAATTTTTTTAAAAATAGATGTCTTTTTTATCATCCTGTGATGCAGAATTTATAAAAAATTTTTAAAAAAATATTGTGAAAAATAAAAGGTTAATTTTTAAACAAATTTTAAATCATTATTATTTTTTATATTGCATTATTTATCATTATGCAAAGACATTATTTATCAGTATTAAAAGCATATTTATATTTAAAGGATTAGATATTCACTTTTGTTGTTCAATGAATTGTGGAGCTTCAAAAATTATGAACCTTTTCCTACTATATTATATTATGTTCCTTTAATAAGTTAAAGTAAATTGTATAACAAATATCAAATTTTATTAATGCGTGTAATTATTATGTATGCAATGGTTACACCTATAGAATTTTTTCTTTACCAAAGTTCAAGGTTTTGGACACTTTAAGACAGTTTAGGACAGTTTTATTCAGTTTCAGACAGTGAAACCCATGTGTCCTGTCCAAAACCAGTGTAGGACGTCCAAAACCCCAACCCTACTTAAATCTGTTATACTTTTCTTTTCGACCTATTGATTACTGTGCTTAGTAGCACTGGCCAATAAACCGATACATAGGAAAATATGATTCTTTGCAATCATCGCCGATCCAATATTTGGATTGGCAAATTTCAGAAGCATCAGAAATTGTGATTTACTGAGATGTGTATGATATTTCCCGATGTATCATTGACATCAATGTCTACACGCGCGATGTTGAGCATTGTTCCCGATAGTACATCTCTGTCTGCAAACTCGCTCGAAGAGCATTTTCATCTGTAAGTGCATTCTTCCACAGTGATAGCTGTGGTCATCAACGTTATCTTTCCCTGTCTTTTTTACATCGTGACTCATCGTTTTGTTGACATGATAAATCCGAATGTGATTGAGAATCTAAGTGCTGTTGAATCTCTTAGTTACTGAAGGATTTTCTTTTAATTGTGCGTGTGTGCTAATGCTATTGATTTTTTTTACAATTAATCTAGCCGTTTGATGTTTTTAAACTGCTGTTTTGTAAACAAAGTATTTAAATATTGAGAAATAATTATTAAAAAAATGGTGCGTTTATTTTAATAATAAATGCAACTTACTAATTGCGAATTTACGCAGTACTAAATATAAAACATTATTGTACCGAGACATCGCAATGCCAAAATCTTTACATCGCCCAGTCCTAGCGCTAAACATCGTGAATCTACTCATACTGGTCTACTTGTTGTACCCGCTTTAAGAAAAAGTTTAATAAGTATAACTAGATTGTTAAAGACAAGTTTTTTCTTATGAAATTACATTTTATTATTTGATTACAATTTGCAGGTACCACTCGTACTCCTCGGGTAGGAGAAATAAGTGGTGTGGACTATACATTTTTAACTGTGGATGAGTTTATAGCCTTGGAAAGAAGTGGAAGCTTGCTAGAAAGTGGCTTATATGAAGGTACTTATTGCTTCAAACTTTCATTAGCAATGTTCTTAGGAGAACTTTAAATTTTTTCATTATGATTTTACACTGATAGTAAAATAATGCATTAATTTATATGTGTGGAGGGCAACAGGATGAATTGTTTATTCTTGAGAAAAGTTTTAAATTTGAGAACATTATTTTACTCTGATGATAAAAAGTTGTTATAAAAATACTTACAAATTTTAATAATTTAATTGTGACATTACTCGAAAATACCAGTCAAAAAGTGTTGTCTTAAGTGCACATTTCTTATATTATAATGTAAAATTAAATTGTATGGTTTTAATTTTCTATAATATTCAAAATACTTAAAACGTAATATTCTATTTAGTTTTGCAGAATCTGTTATAAAAGAAAAGTTAGTTGTTGTAGAAACTATTTATATAATTTGAAGAAAAAAAAATTGATACTGTTTATCAATTATGATAAAAAAAAATAGTTTTTTAAAAAAATATTTGAAAAAATGGCAAATCAAATTATTCAAATTGTTAATTAAAAGTTAATTAAACTTTATCTATACTATCAAAACACATGCGTTGAAAATATGTTTGAAGTTGATACAGTTTTTATTCTTTCAGAATTGCATTTTATGACAACTTGTTCTGATTTTTTCTGTACCTTGTGTTTTCAACATATGCTTAATCAAAACGAAATTATTAATAATTGTATTAATTAAACAAAATTGTTTGTTTATTCAGCAGGAAACAAGAGTTTTTGAGAATATTAAAAATTAAATTTAATAATAGGCTAGGATGTTCATGATAAATGCATTTTTTTCTCCAATTTTTTTTCTTTTTTTTTTACCTGTATATATATTTTTTTGGTAATTATTTTATTATTTAGTTTTTTTTTCTTTTTTTAAGTAATTTTTATCAATTCTGATTGATGTATATATATATATAT